GAGGCAGAAGCAGGCTCCGCCCCTGAGCAGGGAGCCCGATGAGGGACTCGATCCCAGGACCCTGGGATCATGACCTGAGCTGAAGGCAGATGCTTAACCAACTGAGCCACCCAGGCGCCCCTCTTATTTTTTTTCAAGATTTTATTATTTATTTGAGAGACAGAGCAAGCATGAACAGGGAGTTGGGGCACAGAGAGAGAAGCAGACTCTCAGATGAGCAGGGAGCCCCATGCGGGGCTCCATCCCGGGACCCTGAGACCATGACCCAAGCTGAAGGCAGATGCTTAACCAACTGAGCCACCCAGACACCCCGCAAATCTCTTATTTTGAATAGCCCAGCCTTGGTCCACATGATCTGGCTGTGAGGCTCAATCTGAAACCTGGCTACTGTCAGTCTTCCCTATAAAATAGAACATTCTCTTTTCACCTCTATTTTTCCCTTCTACTGTCCCGGTAGATTTTGATGAACATTTTCCTGGACCCAATACATTGGATGATACAACTTCCATCATTTTGGCCTGTTTTTTTTTTCTAGGAGTTTGCTCATTTACATTCACTGCCTTCATTGGAAAGGTAGATCTGGGAGTGCCCAGCATTAGATCCTTTATGAATGAGGGTCCTAGCAGGACACAACCAGCACACTAAGAAAGGTTTCACTTCAAAGAAATTCAGGAAGGGACTGTTACAGAAGTGCCAACTGGGAACAAGTGATAGCAAGGCATCCAAGGACTTAGCGATGGTGGGGAGCCCTTAAGCACCCTCAGGCCTGCTGAGAAGGGGGTGGGGGGGCACCTAGAGCCATGGAACAGGGCCTCGATCAGAGCTGTGGTAAAGCCAGGAGGGTGTAGGATGGAAATGATAGGGAAGCTGTCTCGACACCCTCAAAGATCTCCTGCCCTCACCTCCCACTGGTGAAAGCCAAATAGAAGCAAGAGGACAAGAAAGTCCCAGTGATCTCTCATATCAGTGTGCTGGGCACAGAGCAGGACAGAGCAGGATGCATGAAGGATCTGGGCTACGGAGACATAATGATCATAGAAACCTGGCACATGATTTCGGAAGCGCCTGCTGTGTACTTGTTTCATTGGCCACATGCATTTTATGCCCTAGAGGCTAGCCGTTAGCTGCAGCAGAGTCCTTTGGATTCCACATTTACTTTTTCTTTCTAATTGCTCCTCCAGGTTTATCCTGGAATTATACCCCTCCCTTAGTGGTTATTTTTACCTAAGGAAACAGAGTAGCGTTTCCCAGAAAATATTCTTTGCTAGTTTCCAAATTCAACTTACGAGGTTAGTTCTGACTCAAAACAGCACTATTTATAATGTCTCACAGTATTTAAAGGAACTGATTATTCAATTTGCTTTGCTATTTTATCGCAAGCTGCTTATCCTGGAGCTTTTCTTATAGTTATAATTGTAAATTACGCTACCGCGGCAGTTCTGTTTCTAAAACAGTCCGTTGCAAGACTATGTATTTATCTAGGGGAGTGCTATAATTACAGTCCACCATCACACCTCTAACTCAGTTCCAGAAAGGGTGGGTTCAGTCCAAGAGTAATTTTCTGACCTTCAGGTCAAGTTTAATTGGATTGGTTATTTCTGGAGAATAATTTTTTTTTTTTTTTTAAATAAGGAAGACATAGATCTGCTGATTGGAGAGGACAGTGTGATGTTGACAAGAGTTAGGAGAAAGCGGAGTTGCATGTGTCAAAGGAAACGACCCTGTCTTGGAAAGGGTAGAAGATGTGTCTCGAAGTAGGGATAATGGACATTTATCCTTGGTTTTGTCAGTTCTGCATCTGACCCCTTTCCAGGGTTGGGGAGTCTGCCATGGCTTGAGTCTCCGCAAGAGACGGGTCTTGCCTCCTACTCCGGAAACCAGAAGCTCACTCTGACCCCCAGCAGCCGACCCTCAGGGTAGGGGTGGCCACAACAATGCTCCTGCTTTGACTCTCAAGTGGAAGACACAAAGAAGCGGGGACATTTTGAATTTACTCATTCTGGTGGCCCAGTGGCGATGACACTCCTCGGCATCTCTGTGCACCAGAAAATCGGTCTGCCTTCAAGGAACCACTGAACTGTTTGGGATCCGGGCAGCGCCCACATCATGGTGGGACACTTCAAAGCTTAGACTCTCGCTTCCCTCTGTGTAAGACACCATCGAAGCAGTGGGACAGTGTCAGTTACTTTAGAAGAGACTTAACCAAGGGAGACACCAGTGCGGGCCTGTCCATAGCCATGTAGACCCCAGCCGACCTTCTGTCCTCACGTCCTGCCTCATCTCCCTCGCCCCCAAGCTGTTCCTGTCACACCCTGTTCCCAACCCTTCACTGGGCCTGGGCCTGGCTCTTTCCTCTGCCTGGAATGTTCTTCCCTCCAGTTATTATTCCCACATGCGCCTTTTTCTTTCTTTCCCGTTGGTTCGGATGTCACCTTCTCGGCCTTTCCAGGTCACCTTGCTTACAACGTGCCCACCCCGCTCAGCGGCACCCAGCCACTCGCCTCCTCTCTACTTCTTTCCCCTGCACTATATTTTCCTCCTGGCACTTAGCACCCCCCGACGTTACGTGCTTATTTGTCAACCGTCTGTCATCCTCGGGATACATGTGCTGAGCTTCTGCGGGACTCTGCCTGCTTTGAAATCTGCGATCGCCATTCCCTCTCAGCAGAAGAGGCGTCCATCCTGCAGCCTGACAACGGCAGGTTCTATTTTCCCCAGCAGGCTGATCCTTACTCTCATCGGCGAAGACAAATCCTTGTTCCCTCAAAGCCAGTGCCAGCTGAAGAGCAGCTGATTCTCTCTCCCGGAGAGCTAGTTACTTGAATAAAATGACTGTGGCATTAATAACAGCATCAGCTGATTGCTGCTGCCTCAGGAAACGATAAAGACCTGCTTTCAGGAAGGGAACGCGTGATTTACTTTCATGTCCTATTTTTACGCCCCACACATTGCATTGCACGAAACAGGTGTCTACAGGTGTCTTCGTAAAACAACCAAGTCTCTTCGAACCTCGATCAGTCATGATTTCATTTCTCAGGGTTTGGGACGAACATTCAAAGGGTCCCCAGCTATTAATTATCCAAAAGTAAGATTCTCTTTTTCCTTTTTACGTAGGTGGTATTTTAAAATCATCTTAGATCGTTTTTTTACTAATGATTAAAACATGGATGTGTGTTCTGCTCATTTATGTTTTTTCTGCCAGGTGACAAAAGATGGAGTATTTAACACTGAATTCTAAGAGCTGTACCATTCCCAGTTTCAGTGATTACAGACTGTTGACAACAGAGTTGGAAATCAATTCAGGTGTCAGAGGTTTTTCTGTTTAGTGATTTAAAAAAAATTTTTTTTTCTTTTTAAGATTTTATTTACTCATTTGAGACACAGAGATACAGAGAGAGAGAGAGAGAGAAAGCATGAGCAGGGAGAGAGGCAGACGGAGAGGGAGAAGCAGGCTCTTTGCTGAGCCAGGAGCCCGATGTGGGGCTCGATCCCAGTACCCTGGGATCATGACCTGAGCCGAAGGCAGATGCTTAACCATCTCAGCCACCCAGGCACCCCTAATGATTTTTCTTTTTTTTTTAAGATTAAAAGAAAATTTTCTAAAGTCATGTCTACACTCAATGTAGGGCTTGAACCTACAGCTCCGAGATCAAGAGTAGCATGCTCCACCGACTGAGCCAGCCCGTTTAGTCATTCCTAAATACTCAAATTACCTAAACCTCTAGTGTTGGGAAGCCTCCCCACCCCACCCTTTTTTTTTTTTAACATAGGAAGATAGTTAAGCCCAGGAGATACATTTGGAACTGAGAGCTCTAAAACAAACTCCTATTTGTTTAGGACTTAAGAGCTCTCATTTAATCTCTTAGGAAAACAACTTCGTGAGGCAGGATGATTTTATGATTTCACAGATGCGGAAACTGAAGTAGTCAACTCCTTTACCCTTGTTTCTGGTGCTAAATTAGGTCCCCTTTTTGGTGGAAATCGCTGCTTTGTCTAGGTAGCTCCAGGTTGGATGTTCTCTTCCATTTTTTTGTGTTGAACTTTCCATTTCTGCCTCAATTTAAGAACTGTAGAGGCGCGTGGTGACAATCTGATGTGTTAATGACAGAAAATAATTTTGAAGGAGGACTCAGAAGGTTTCAAGGTCACTGAAACTAGCTATGACCGTGAAGGTCATTTGTATCAGGACCATTTGATAGTGGATCTCTTCTCTAACACCCTGATCCAGTGTTCATCCAATACTTGAGCGCTTCTAAGGTTGGAGACTTCTGCAACCTTTGAAGGAGCCCAGTTCATCTTTGGGTAGGTTTGGCTACTAGGAAGTTCTCTATTGTTTTAAGACTTGCCCTTTGTAACTTGGGTCTCGTGATCTATTTTTTCAGCCTGTGTGCCTAAATCTTTTTTTCTTTAGTCCAATAACAATGACAATAATAGTAAGTTGCCCCAATGGTTATTGTTTATTAAGGGTCTAGTATAGGTCAGCCACTGTGAAGTCCCCTGGTGTATACGTCGTCTGGGTATCTGCTATATAGTGTCATCTGCCAGGTGTGCGGGGGGCATTTAGAATATGAACATAGTAGCTAATATGTTTCAAGTATTTATGATAGGCCAGATGGTCTCCTAGTATTTTAAATGTATTTACTTAAATCTCAAAATAACTCCAAGAGGTTGAGACTATTGTTATCCTAATTTTCCAGATGAAGGAAATGAGGCAAGAGAGACTGCTGTAGGTCCCACAGTCAGTGTCAACTTTGCTCTTAGCTCTGACATAAATTGCCTCTCAAAAAAGCACAGCCGGGCTGAAAAGGGCGCAGTGCCTGCCTTCATGGAGCTTCCAGGCTGTAGGAGAGGGGGACACAGAAGTGGACAGTTGGAGCGTGAGGAGGTAAAGAGAGTCTATAAAGGTGACGAGGGAGCACAGAGAACAGGCACTTCTCACCTACAGAGACGCCCGGGAGGACTTCCTGGAAAAGCCAACACCTCCTTTGACCAGGAAGATCATGCCCAGGAGGAGGTGGGGACAGGGGGCCCAGCATGAGCAAAGGAACAGAGGTGAGAGACTGTGGAGTGTACGCAAGGAAGGGGGCTCTGGTCTGAATGTTTGCGTCGACCCCCAAACCCACATGTTGAAATCCTAAGCCCCAAAGATGATGGTATTTGGGAGTGGGGCTTTGTGGAGGTGATTCGGTCCTGAGGGTGGAGGCTTTGTAAATGGAATTTGTGTCTTTATAGAAGTGACCCCAGAGAGGCCCCTCCCCGCCTCCACCCTGCTGGGGCACAGGGAGAAGGCACTAGCTATAGCCCTGGAAGGGGCCCTTCACCAGAACGCGACTGTTGGAGCCTTGATCTTGGACTTCCCGGCCCGGAGACCCGTGAGAAATGAATTCTTGCTGTTGATAAGCCACCCGGTCTGGGGTGTTTTGTTATAGCAGTCCCAGCAGACTCAGACCAAGGGGAGAGGTCTGGGATGCTGGAGGTTGCTGTAAAGCTAACGAGCGGGAAGTACAACTGAGTTACGACCACGCGCAGGTGTGGATGTGTCCCGGCTGTGTAAATAAGGTTTGCCTCACATTTTAAATGTAGTTAGGGAGGTTACTATTTAAAGAAAGCCTTTCTGGAAGGAGGATATTTACACCGTGAGGAATCCAGAGCCACACATTTGATGTTTCCTTCAAGTAGATGAGCACCGTTACCATGGTCTTTCGTCGGCATCCTTTCCTTCCCAGGATGTGTGTCTAAGCCCCCACGTGAGGATGCAGGAGCTTATTTGTCCTACGTCAGAGCTGCCTCTTTCCGTGGGGGAGTTCATTACTTCCACGCCTCCGTGATCACATTCAAGGCCGGAGGACACATTCACAGATGCATAAGATATCCAGGTGATCACGAAGAAGCCCTTCTTTGCTTATGATTTATCTGAATGTTTCATAGGTCAGATTCATAATGATTCTTGGAAAAAACCAACCATTGCCACTTAACATCCTCCGTATATCTTTTAAACCCAGAAGACCATCTAGCTAGGGAAAATCCGGCCTGTCCGTGGTAGGCGGCAATGTTAATCTGCATGGCTAAAGGAAGCCAGGTGGTCAGCGGCCCCCACATTCACAGCGCGAGTTTAGTGAACAATCACAAGTTGTGTATAAATCGGTTTCCATGGTTTGTTCATCTCAGCTGCTCTGCAGGTGGCTGAGGACACACAGTTTATCTCTGCACGTTATGGAATGAGCCATGTCACGTTTTCCCCTAGCGTATTAGACACGAGTGTTTCATAAATATAAGGCTCTGTGTGGAAGACGGGAGTTTTACCCTGACAGGTTAAGGGACAATGATGGTCCTGGCTTTATTATTTTGTCTTCTGTCTTTTCTGTTTCAATTACCTTTTGTGTTGCCTGCAGGAAACATTTCTCTCAAATGCATGCAAGACACCGATGAATTCCTTTCCGATTTGAATTCAGTGGAGCCCAAAGAATACGCTCTAAGAAGTAAGTAGGTTTTTCTGTCCTGTTGGGTAGGTGAACACAGGGCAATCTGAGCTTTGGGCCGGGAGGATTCTAGAAAAACTCTTGGTGATTAAAAACACAGAACCAAAGAGGGAAGGCAAAATGAGCCTCAACTTACAAATTGCTCCAGGGCTCAAGGAGGGAGGTGCAATTTTTATTGCACAAGAGCAAGAGAGGAAGTGGTATTTAATTCTAGCCAGAAGGAATCTCATGAGGACCAACCTCTTAATGAGACGAGAACTGTTCATAAATTGTAAGATGCTGTTTACTATTATCGAAGTTGGTAGCATTTTACTGTCGTATGAGATAATGTACTAATTTCTTTTTCTAGATGTTTAGTCTGCTTTTGATAATGAATTACTTCATTATTTAGGGAGCAAGTTTTACCCATTATGTACTTGACAATAAATTCTGAGGAGTCTGTTGGTGAAGGCACAGGCCCGCACCGGAAGAAGAGTGACTCCAGCCCAAGCTCTTTGCACGTCAGAGGCCGCCATAATTTATTTTTTGTTAGTTTCCCCAAATTATTCTCACAACTAAAGGGACACATACCTTCCTGCCAGAAAGGGGCAGGAAATCAGCGAGGTAACCTCTCCTGGAGAATGATCCACTGAGGATGCTGAAGAAAACCACTAACAAGAAGCAACGTAAAAACTCAACTCTTTCCAAAGCCAGAAAAACCGCCCTAGGGATTTCCATTTGCATTTGAACGCATGACTAATTTATTTTGTATTGGAAAACAGTAGCAAATACACATCATATAGAGAGACAAAAGTTTGTTTTTTTTTTTTTTTAAGATTTTATTTATTTATTTGACAGAGAGAACAAGTAGGCAGAGAGGCAGGCAGAGGGAGAGGGGGAAGCAGTCTCCCCGCTGAGCAGGGAGCCCGATGCGGGGCTGGATCCCGGGACTCCAGGATCATGACCTGAGCCGAAGGCAGTCGCTTAACCGACTGAGCCGCCCAGGTGCCCCGGAGAGACAAAAGTTTTGATCTAATATGGGGGAATTCAAAATAGCACACACGACTGGAAGCAATTGCCACTCAACACTGGATTACACGTCCTGATATTTAATGAGACATTGGAAAACATATAAATCCAACTAATTCAATGGCCATCTTCAAATCCCATTTTAGAATTGATGATGTTTTGTTAGAACAATTGCTGACACCAAACAGGGAACATGCTGACAAACCTGGGCCATACACGCTGGCCAAGAAAACCCTAGGGTTCAGGGACCGGCTGAGACCGTTGGTGAGGAGGTGGTGGTGCCTATTGTCATTGTTAGTCACACAGCCATGCTGACACTCTGTTTGCCTCACAAGTTACTCCGGTCGTGTTCAACAATATTCTGTCGGTAGGGGCCTGGAAATTGAAAATCTTTTTTTTTTTTTTTTTTTTCAGTGAAAAAAGTTTCCCAAAGGTGAATGGTCCAAGAAAGACTCAAATGATTTATATAAGTGGGATAGATGACCATTAGTTAATTTAATAGAGGAATATTACCTGCAGTTGTTGTAATTGATTTGCTTTCTAACGCACCAGAAAACACTTGACACTGTTGCTTTGACATTTTGCCTGAGAGTTTTGAGCACACGGCGTGGTTCTGACCTTCCTTCTCAGCGTGGTTTTCCTGACACTCATGTGAATGGAAAAATGATGAGTCGATATTTAGAGAGCACTTTTACATGGAGGACGGCTCCCAGCCTACTGAGTTCCAGCAGCCCCACTATGAACAGGGAGTTTTCTCTATTTTATAAATGAGAAAAGGGAACCACAGCCCAAAATAAGTGGGAGAGAGAGGATTTGAGCCCAGGTCATAGGATTCTCAAGCTTGCACTTACAATCACTGCCTAAAATAAGCAACGAGAGAATCAAGAAAAAATATGGCAAAAAGGAATAAAGCAGAAGCACACGGGCCAATGTGGGGGGAATATGCAGAAAGAACATCAAGAAAGAAAGTTGTAGAAGAATACATGCGGGACATAAAGGAGCCAAACATGAAATTAAGGTGCTGTGTTGCTCAGGGAGACGGGTGTACATCAGACAGACAGTGGAAAGAGATGCGTGAGACTGATGATCTCCAAATTGAGTTAGACGTCGCCTCCGAGTGGGACCAGCTGGTCAGGCTGGAGGTGCGATTGGGGTCCCGTCAGATCTCAGATGATGAGTCACGTTTCACTTTTTCATCTGGGCGATAGGAACATAGGTGTTTCTTATTTGTGTCTTTTTAACACATTAAATGTCATGTAATCGTGTGTTAAAGTTCCATCCCCAACCTGAAGCCCAGAGAGGACAGCAGCAGGACCTCAGAATACAACGGGGAGAGAGGGTTCCGGAAACTCAGGCAGGGAGGTTTGGTGTTGTAGGAGGGAGCTGGAATCGTGGCTGTTCAGGGCAGGGGAGAGACTGACCTTAGAGCCAGCTGTGGGTGGGGACTCCAGCTGTGGGGTGGGGGAGCTACCTTAACGGGTGTGGATGTGGCTGGAGGGACGAGTTTGGTGCCGGGACTCTAAACTGAGTTCCATCTCCCCCTTTCCATCATGCTTTTCCAGTTGCTTTCCAACACATGTCCATCATCTTAAAGGGAACAAAATCCATCAAACACTATTTGTGTGCTTTGATTTTTGCCACCCTCTTGGGTTACCATCTGATTTTATCCCCCTTTTGTTGCTGAAGTCCTCAGGCCAGTATTCTGGCCCCTCTCCTCCTTTCGTTTTTTTGTTTGTTTGTTTGTTTCTGATTTTGCTTTTAAACTCCATAATCCACTGCAATCTACATTCAGTCTCATATCACATACAAACCTCGCCCCCTAAAAGACCTCTGGCCTCCTCCCTCCTGGCTAATCATTTTCCCCCCCTCTCAGTGGCCTTTCTCCTTGAGCCCTCTGGCATTATCTGCCTTCCTCCTTACATGCACCCATTTCTAATTCAGAGGCGGTCCCCCGTCTGGGATGGCCCTCATCTGCGGCGATTGCTCCTCTCTCTTCTCCTTTCTCTCTCTATCCGATCACCTGCACCTTCGCACCTGCTTCTTTCCTGATTGTACTTTTCTGGTAAACGAGGCATATTTTAGAGGCAGGCTGCTGACCCATGGACACTGCGCTAGGCTGGTGGTCCTGACGCCTGCTCAGTCCAGAACCAGCTGTGTGCCTGGCCTCACCCAAGAGACGTTACTTTGCTAAACGACTTTCCCCACCTATGAGATGCGGAGGCTGTGTTTCTCAAACTCTGACAATCTGCAGCAGCTTTAAAGATGTCTTGATTCCTTTGCCCGGGGGTCTGCTCCAGCTGGTCTGCAGGGGCTCGCAAGAGCCATTTGTTAAATTTTCAAGCTGGTTGTCAAACGCAGTTACTTTTAAGGGTTGAATCGCTGAAATTGACAAGTTACGGTAAGAACAAAGGTAATGAATACTCAAAATTCACCGCTTCCTTGTTCTTTTACTACTCATTACTCTTGAAGTCACTCGTGTTGGCTGTGCTGGTATGGTAGAAAGGGTGGGAACATGCTGCTGGGCACATCGTCTGCCAGCCCGGGTTCAGGACCGTCAGGCTGGGAGCTGGAGGTCAGCCGTGGCTGAAGTGTATTCGCCACGGAAGTTGGCAATCACTCCAGATTGGGGCTTGATTTAGTGTTTTTGTTGACTGTCTGGACGTCTAAGAAATTGATGGAGAAAATGTTACAAGTGCAAATTCAACTTGAAAGAGTCTTAGGTCTATGGCCATTACATTATAAATAGCACCTGAAATCTGTCATCCAATTCAGCAAAAACGTTGCTCATGTCATTGACAGTTGAGTGAAGTTCTGACATACATCTTTCTGGTTTCACATCTGTATTACTCATTAACATGGACAAAAATAATCACCCGACATTCATCCTGGGACTACACTCATTGGTCAATGGAAACCAGAGGTTGGCTATAGATATGAGAGTTTGCAAACATTGGGGAAAGCCTTCTGGGAGAATCAAGTGGCTATATGTAGAATTTATAATAAGGAGTATTATTGATTTCGTAATTTATTTGTAATTTGCGTGTGTTATGGGCTGAACTGTGTTCCCCCAAAATTCATATGTTGAAGTCCTAACCCTAGTACTTTATTTTAGAATGGGACTCTATTTGGAGGTAGGTCTTTAAGGAGATCTTAAATGAGGTAGAATGAGGTGATGAGAGTGGGTCTTAATCCCATCTGACTGGTGTCCTTATGGGAAGAGGCGATGAGGACACAGACACACTCACAGGAAGGACCAAGTGAAGACACAGGAAGATGATAGCCATCTAGAAGTCAAGGAGAGAGGACTCAGAAGAAACCAACCCTGTGGACGCCTGGCTCTTGGACTTCTGACTCCAGGACTGTGAGGAAATCCATTTCCTTTGTTTAAGCCACCTCATCTGTGGTGTTTCATCATCGCGGCCTGAGCACCTTAATACAGTGTGCTACACATCTTTTACATCAGTATAACTTATAATAATCTCTCTAGATTGTATATATACACATTCTCGTTTGGGGTAGAGCGCAGCTTGTTAGACATTTACCACCACTGCCGAAGCCCCACCCAACTGCTAGTTGAATCTCTAGGAGCTGAACCTAAGAATCTGAATTTCAAGGAAGCTTCTTGTATGAATTTTGATAATTGTGATGGTTAATTGAAAATAGGGCCATTTACTGGTAATTGCTGGTAAAAACATAAGTCAGACAAGTTACCAAAAGTAGACACAAACTCAACCCCCTCATATTAGTTAGGCCTCCTGTAACAAAGTACACAGATTGGGGGACTTAAAGAAGAGAAATTAATTTTCTCACAGTTCTGGAGGCTGGAAGTTCAGGGTCAAGGTGCTGGGAGGGTTGGTTTCCTCTGAGACTTCTGTCCTTGGTTTGCGGATGGCTGATGACACCTTCTCCTTGGTGTCACTCTGTATGTACGAATATCTGTGTATACGGACGCTAGTCAGATGGAATTAGGCCCTACCCTAACAGCCCTGTTT